AAAAAAAAAAAAAAGAATTGTATGAGCCACCAATAAAATAATTTTTTAAAAATTAAAAAAAAAATTTCTTGGTTGGTATCCTCACTTGCAATATTCTTTGCTTTTATCTGAGCATCATTGGCTGTGTGGTATATCCTTAACCATCTTTTCATGTAGAAGGATCCCATTCCTTTAGAGGTAGGCCAATTAGACAAGAGTCATTGTGCTTGATATTTTAAAAACAGGCAAATTTTCTTCTCTGAACATTATTATGTTCATCTATGAAAAGCCCTTTTCTGCTTCTGTGGAACTTACAGCAATTGTTCTGACAATGCTTTTGGCTTTTTGAACAGTTTCAGGAATTTCATGACTCACTCATTGTATCTCCTAGGAATTTGGGGTATAACACAAAGCTGAAACAAATGACAGCATGTCACCCTCTGGTTGTATGGCACATTTTATATGCTTGTTTACTGAGCAACAAATGCAAGGGAACAAAAAAGTACTATTTCATCAAAAGTATAACAATTTTTAGTAAATGAATAAATACATAATTTTGTGTATCTATGGATGTAATGAACATTATTAGGGGTGCTTAGAATGAACACTGAAAGGAATAAGGAATGTAAACTTGTGATTCCACATTGGATGCTGCTCAGCCGCTCACCTTAGAGAGAACCCTGATTATAAATGCCATTTTCACAACCAGTTCACTGAACTCAACAAAAAATACAGCTATGAGTTCTGCCAAACCATTGCGGACTGGCTGACTCCCACCACTGCCTTCAAATCAGGTTGTGGCAGATAAAACCAAGCATCTTCCTGTTATATAAAAGAGTTTCCAAAACCTCCTGGAATAAACTTTTTGAAGCCCCCTTATATTTTTCCCCCTCACTTCCCCATTTTCTGTATTTTCTAAAGGCAGCACATATTCCTTCTACTAGTTCAAGCTTGAAACTGTAACTTCATATCTGGCCCTGCCTCTCCAGTCCCATCACCTGCAGCCAGTTGCCATGACCGGCCACTTTGAGGGCTGTCAGCACTCTCGTTTTCCATTGTCAGCTCCCTGGATTGTGCTTCTTCCTGCCTTCAGGGGATTCGCACCCTAATTAAAATGCTCCCTTGCCACTGAACCCCTGGATCACCTTTCATCTCCAGCCATTGTGATCCTGTATGAAGCACACATAAACCACAACAGGAGGAGGAGTGCGTGTTTTCCAACACAGTTCCATCTTCTTGCCTTTTTCCCTCTGTTCCAGTTCTTCTACTGAGAATCCCTCCTTTCTACCCCCTCCAGTGCCCCAGTGTGTCTGGCATCACTGCTGGTCCCCCTTCCAGGCTCTTAAGGGACTCGATGCTAATCTGTAAGAGACTGAAAATATAGTCGAGACATCCAGGGTTACAGAGACCCTGGGTAGACATGTGCAAGAAGGAAACAACCAGGTGTCAAACCTGTTTTCCCTAGTTTGGTCATGGCTGATTAAGTGAAAATAAAATGAACCCAAATGTGCAAATGTGGATATACAAGAACGGAAAACATATGGGTGGATGTCCCACTAGAACCTTAATTTCCCCGGGGAGGGAGGAGTAAAAAAATAAGAAGCTGATACCAAGGGCTCAAATAGAAAGAGAATGCTTTGAAAATGATGATGGCAACAAATATACAAATGTGGTTGACACAATGGATGTATGTATGGATTGTGGTAAGAGTTGTATGAGCCCCCAATAAAGTGATTTATAAAAAAAAAAGAATCAGGAAAAAGGAAAAAAAGGAAGAAAATGATGATAGCAACGATATGTACAAATGTGCTTGACACAATGGATGAATGTATGGATTGGGATAGGAGATGTAAGAGCCCCCAATAAAAGTATTCAATAAAAAACCCAAAAAACTTCAATTCCCTTTTAGAAAATGGGCGGTACATATGTTGCACAGCAACCAAATATCCTGATCAGCAGAGTCAGAAACTGTGCTTAGTTCAAACCTCACCAAGTTGAATGTGTGTGATGCGTCATACCCCTGGCAAGAAGCCAGTCTTCCAAATCAAGCTCCTCAAAGGCTTCATTGTGCCTCCCTCTTCTGAATCTCCAATTTCAGACCTTCAACCAATAATTTTCGCCCTTCTGGTTACTGTTCCACTTTAAAATCTAGGTCTATTCTAATTCTGCTACATCAGCAATGACTGCACCACTTTGAAACCCTGGAAACCACCAAGAAGCAATACTGTTAAGAGGTAAATGAAAATAAGGATGCAGGAAGATGAAGATCTTCTCACAGGAGTCATCTATAGTCATGACTCCTATTTCCTCCTCTTCTCTTCCCTCTGAAACCCAGTCAAGTTTGGATGGTGCCCCCATCACTATAGAGAAATTGCCCTTCGTTAATGACCTCCACATTGTTATCAAGTCACGGGCCATCACCTACTCTAAAGCCCGCTCTTTGACTATCAAGTTATATAGTGATGAAGCCAAATGTCCTTGTAATCATCTTCCAATGCCCCTTTCTCTCCAATTCCTCATCCAGTGAATTCTACCTTTCAAAATAGCTTCTGAACCAGTACTTTTCATCTCCTTTGTCACTCCCACAAAGGTGCCATCAATTAGTCTTAACTGGTCTCCCTGGTTCTTCTCTTGCACTCTGCTAGACCCCACTTTATGCCCAACGCAGCAGCCAGATTGACCCTGTTAAAACCTAAGCCAGGTCGTGTCACTCCGTGTCCCACTGTCATCTCTTTTGGTGTTAACGTGTCCTTTCATTGACCCACAAAGTCTGCTGTGACCAGATCTTACTCCGGAATGCCCCATTTTGGCTCCACTCACGCTACCCCTTTGGGGGCCCCTGAGGTTCCTGATCACATAAAGCACAGTCCATGTTAGGGCCTGTGTGTCCAGTGCCAAGAAAGCCCATCGTTCAGATCTCTGTGGGGCTCATTTCTCACCTCCTCCAAGTCTTTGCCAATGAGCCTATCGCAAGCACCTCCTTGACCTGTCCTACTCTGTTTCTGAGTCCCTTTTAGTACATTCTAGAATTTACTTATTTGCTATGTCTATTGTTTATTGTTATGTGTATTGTCTGTCTCTCACAGCTAGAGTGTAAACTCACTGTTCAGTGATGTATCCCAATTATCCAGAACAGTGCTTGGCACATGTTGCTGGTGCTGCTGTTGGTTGGTTCTGACTCATAAGCATCCTAGGTGCAACAGAATGAAGACAGCTTCTTCCTCACATTGCTGCCAGGCTTTAACCCACTGTAGCAGCCACTGTGCCAGCCCATCTTCCTTTTTGGGTGACCTTTACCAAATATGATGTCATTTCCCTGTTAACGTGGCCAAAGCATGTGAGACAACGTCTTAACAATCCTTTTTTAAAAAAAAAGAGCATCCTGGCTGTACTTCTTTCAAGACAGACTTGTTTGTTCTTCTGGAAGTTCATAGTATATTCAATACTCTTCTATAGCACCATCATCCAAAAAGGCACCCATTCTTCCCTGGTCATCCTTATTCATTGTCCAGCTTTCACATGCAGATGAGGCTACTGAAAATACCGTAGCTTGGGTCGGGCTAAACTGAGTCCTCAAGGTGACATTGTTGTCCTTTAATACCTTAAAGAAGTCTTGGGAACATATCTACCAAATGCAATGCATGGTTTGATTTCTGGACTGCAGCTCCCAGGGCATAAATTGGAGAGCCAAGTACAATGAAATCATTGGCAGCTTCAATCTTTTCTGCTTATCATGATGCTGCCACTGTCCCAGCACCCACTGAATCTAAGGATGACTGATCATTGAGAAGCTCTGTGAGGAGGAAGGCGCTTACTACAGTAGTGCACATGGGGCTAACAGCACACGGATGTGGAGAAAATGGAAAAAGTAAAGGAATATGCAATTTATCTGTACTTTTCCAATACTTTATTGTCACTCTGATCTAAAACACATACACCTACACACACCTTTGAAATACCTTTATTTTATTAGTTTAAGATAATAAGCTACAATATGAACATTTCTGAGCATTAAGAAATAATGACCCTAACACATCCTTAAATATCTATTAAATAGGGACCATTTGTGCAGTTAACTGTCAACATCCAATATTTTGTCAGTTTCAGAATTCTACAATGTGAAAAGACGAGTGAAATTTGCATACTCAAACAAAAAGATCTCTGACAAGCCCACACTTTTACCTATGTGCAACCATTAAGGATAAGATTATTTATGTAAAATATATACTTATTCTGATAAAGCAAGACTATAAAGAAGTGAAAATATAACAAGCAATAAATACTGTGAAACTTAAAAGTATTAAAGCAGAGAACATGAGCAGTATTTCTACATTCCTATAACTAAGATTCTTGGCACTGATTGAGGTTCATTGCCACGTGTGTTAAGTGCAATTACTGGTTCTTTCCGGCCTCTGGATATAGATAAACATAAAGTCATTTAGTTATGGTTTTAAACTTGTAATGGTTCTAAAACAAACATACAGCTAATAAGCAAGCCCATTTGGAATGTAAGAATGATATTTTTGGAACCCACAATGCATATGAATCACCGCACATTTAAACAAAGAAGTACAACTTAGCTTTCCCTCGTTAGGTTTGGAATGATGCTGCTTTGCAAAAAGTGTAATCTTTAAAATGAACAAAAATCTCCATTGATTTCTCCAGTGACTTTGAGAGCGGCACTTTGGAACGCCATCTCTGGCCCTGGAATGTCAAATAAGCAGTCAGTCAGTAACTTTTAAACACCCACACAGATGGGGCACTTTAAAAATATGTGGAAATTTTTCATTATCTTTTCATTCCTTTTTCTCCATGAACATTTTGAGGCTTCTTGGTACTGTTTACTTTCAGCAAGATAAGTATAAAACAAACAAAAAAATACATCTTCTTTACACAAGACAAAAGAGTGGTCTTAACCTCAGCAGGTTTTGCCATGGAGGATAGCATTTATTTAAATAGAATACTCTACTTTAAATTCTAAATCGTGGACACTAATGGAGTGGAGCAGGGGCTATCAAGATTATTTATATAAAGAACTGGCATATACTATACAATCACTTCCACAGTAGATTTATCTTTTTAATTAGTTTGCTTAGTCTAATAATAAAGTCAGTTTCCATTCCCTAAGGCACAATGACTGGGCAACAGTGGGGAGGGCTGGCTTTCAGGATGACTCCGGGCCAGGATGGCTGAGCTGACCAAACGTGCACACTTACTCATACATACTGCTTTCCTTAACAGTATTTCACCACAGCCTTGCAAACAGAATGGTCTGCTGCTCGGGGCTGCATGTCATCTATAATACACATTTTAGATTGAGCAAAGCACACTCACTGTGGGCTTTAAACCAAATGTTCCCTATGAAAATGGTAACATAATTTGAAAGCAATTATGGAAAGCAAATGCTGACAGTCAAAATATAGAGCAGGTTGATTAACTGGGCATCATTTCAGCACCCAAAGTTCTGCTTAGTGTTGAAATAGAGTTAGTGCTCATGTTGGCTTTTCATTGCAGTGCTTTAGTGATGTGGTAAAGGTAGTAAATCGCATTAAAAACTCAGCCCTCCACTCCTATTTGGCTCACTGCTGGCTCTTTTTCACTGAATGAAGGAATATTCCATGAACATTTTTGGAGTCTCTTAAATATAGTGCCACAACAATGACATCATACTTTGTAAAACAGACATCCAAAAGTTTTGGAAACAAGAATATTTCTTTGGTATGAAGTTCTTCTCTCTCTCTTTTAAAATGTCAGATACTATATTTGTAGCAGGATGCAAAGGAAATTTGTGACAGTTGCTTTAGTACATATATATCACGAAGTCTTTGCTAGGAACCAAAGTGCACATGTTAAGGAGTCTAGACTAGTAACTCGCAGAGCACACAGGCTGTGCCGCTCTTGTCCGCTCCAGTAACTGAGGGCCCCTGCCTGGCTGTGGCCGATGCTCAGTGCACACTGCTGCAGGCAGTGCTTCCGCCAGGGTTTTGGTGATGTGAATATGACCACCGTTCTGCTGTGAATTGGGTTTTACATAGTAAACCTACGTGAAATGTAGTGAGTCAATAAAGATGCAGCAAATACCCCAAAGTTTAGTCTTTATGATATGTATTAAAAACCATAAGAATCGGAATTGGCTTGATGGGAGTAGGTGTTTTATATGTATACACGAGGCTTTAAAAAGTTCATGGAAAAAATAGACTTAAAAGATAATGGAATTTTCCCAAGAGCTTTTGAAGCCTCCCTTATATGTATGTATGATACATACAAATGTGTGTGTGTAATACATAGTCAGAGACAGATTAGGCTATTTTTTTCCTTTAAAGACACTTTATGTTAAAGATACATACTGATCCCTCCAGGACCAGTGGTGTGAGTGGTGATACTGGGAAGGTAGAGGGAAAGTGGGTTGGAAAAGGGAACCGATTACAAGGAACTATATGTGACCTCCTCCCTGGGGGACGGACAACAGAAAAGTGGACATCGGACAGGGCAAGGTATGACAAAATAATAATTTATAAATTATCAAGGGCTCACGAGAGAGGGGGGAACGGGGAGGGAGGGGAAAAATGAGGACCTAATGCTGAGGGCTTAAGTGGAGAGGAAATGTTTTGAGAATAATGAGGGCAATTAATGTACAAATGCGCTTTACACAACTGATGTGTGTATGGATTGTGATAAGAGTTGTATGAGCCCCTAATAAAATGATTAGAAACAAAAGATTCATACCGAAGCATTTATTATTTATGTACATATTTTTATGTATGAAAGTATAAGACAACTTAGATTGCTTTTAAATAATGTAACAAAAAGGCACGCTATGAGGAATTGATGAAACAGAATTACAGAATATTAACAATTATAGACGTTGGTGATAGGTCCCTGGAGGTGCTTTATACTATTATCTATACTTTGTGAGGGTTAAAATTTTCAGTAAGAAATAAGTGCAAGTTAATGTCAATAACCAAAAATATGAGAGAAAAATAAGTGTATTTTCTGCTGTCAAAAGAACTACATAGGGAAACAAAGACTATTTACTCCCAACATTCTTCAAAAACAGCCAGATGCCATGAATAAACTCTGACTCATACCGATCTTGTATTGGTTTCTGCAAACCTTTACAGGAGCAGACAACCTCGTCTTTCTTCCTAGAGCACTAGTGGGTTTTTAACCACTGACCCTGCAGTTAGCAACCCAACACCTAACCCATCTCTTACCACCAGGGCCCCTTCCCAATATTCTTGTAATAGTTAACTTTGCAATGTGGGTGCACTAAATGCTAAATGGTTTGATTCCTCAGGCAAGCAGAATTACAGGTGATTTTTCACTTTCCTCTTTAAACTGTTTCATATTATATCAGTGTTTACAATACACTGATTTTAAATTTGGGGAAAACTCTTTTCCAAAACAACATGTTGTAATTTTTCTCCTTGTGTTATTCCTCTTAGACAAGGGAGTGATTTTGAGTGGGAAAGAGATCAACTTTTAGACATGAGATCTTGGATTGATTTCATTCTGTTTTTTAAGATGCTAATGAAATGTCTCATGAGAGGCCAGCACATCATTTTGTTCTTGGCCACCCACCGAGTGCGTTAAACTGGAGAGCACAGCAAGTCTGTGTGAAGATCTGCAAGATCAGACCTAAGTAGCTCTCTGCTGCCTCAAAGCAGGCTGAAAACAGTTAGTCTCAGGAGGCAGCAGCCTCAATGTCAGGAGTCAGAATGGGCAGCATTGGGCAGTCGGAATGGATACCGCATTTGTGGGCCTGTGAGCAACGGCCATCCTAGGAGCCAAGCAGATGGCAGCAGGAAGACACAGCTCCAGGGCCTACACTGCCAGCTCAGCCTCAAGTGCCTAGGCATGCCCTGGCAGCACATGGAGGAGGGCTTTTTAATGTAAGGACTGATCTCTGAAACATCAGTTAAGGAGTAGTATCTTGGGTAAGAGTTCCCAAAGTAAGTGCTCTAGAGGCAGTCAAATATACCTGCCACCCCTTCCTGTCTGCCTGCCCTCTCTGGGAGCCTGGTTACACACAAAGGCCTCCTGGTCGATGTTATTCAAGCGTCTCTATTCCTTTTTGCCTGCTCTTTTGTGAACTGATTTTAAGGCTTCAAGGCACCTGAAGTTTCTCTCTCTGACAGAGAGGTGGGGAATCCCTCTCTACGGCATCTCGGTTTGGATACTGTACAGAAAAATAAACTTACGGCCACCATCTAAGTTACCTGGTGAGCAGTTTCTTCTTGTAAATCCACTTTCTAAGCTTTAGAAAGGACAATAAATTTCTTATGTTTTGGGTTTTCCAAATCATGTACCTGTAATAAGATTAAAGAGTGACATTTTATTATACGAAACTAATAATTTTACTCACTCACAGCCATTGAGCGGAGTCTGACTCATAGTGACCCTAGTAGAGCAGAGTAAAACTGCCCCTATGGGTTTCTGAGACTGTCAATCTTTACAGGAGTAGAAAGCCTCTCTTTTCTCCTGTGGATCTGCTGGTGATTTTGAATGGCTGACCTTGTGGTTAGCAGCTCTACATATAACCCACTATGCCACCAAGGCTCCTAGTAAAATTTTACTAGAGTGGAAATTTCATTTCTTAATTATTGTGTTTCTAAGATGATCATGGGAAAAGCATTTAGATCCTTATTTAGTTCTGGATTATATGGATTTAGGGAATGATGACAGGAGCTCTGGTGGAGCGACCAGATAAGCACTGGACTACTAACCTCGAGGTCAGTAATTGGGAGCCACCAGTTGCTCCCTGGGAGAAAGATGAGGTTGTCTACTCCCATCATGATTTATAGTCCGGAAACCCTCTATATAGGGAGGCTGTGAGTCAGAATGGGCTCACGGCAATGAGTGGCGTTAAGCGTATGATGACCCTTTCTCAGATGGAAAAAGATCATCTTTACCTGGTTCCTAATACAATTGGGGGGCGCAGAGTGAAGGTCAGCATTGGAGTGATGCTTGTCTGACGTTCTTGACATTTCTTGACATAACTTTCTTTTAGATTTGTGGACCATTCGGCTCAGTATTGATCGGTGGACACTGGCATTAACTTCTTTCATCTGACTTACTGGGTGTTGCTGATGCAGCTGCTGGTTTTCCATATCTGTGTCTGATTCAAAAATGTATGGCTTTCTCTTCGTTTTTCCTGACCTGTGGCCTTGCCCTGAAACTTGTGGTCTAGAGGTACTTGTGACATTTTCTTTCCCATTCACTTGGAGGGTGGCGACACTTCTACTAGTGCCTGGTTTTTGGAGTGCCCAGTTCTCAGATCTCTGCTTCCTTTCTTTCCCACCCTCAGCCCGTGCATTTCCACCGGGAAGAGGATGCTTGATCCTGTTTGCACAGGCCTCGGTGTCGTTTTCTTGGGGTCTGGAAATCTGACTGAAGTGGCCAGCATGCGTCTGGTTGGGACCATGAGGTCTTTTCTTTGCAGTCGAACTTAAATTCGGCCTGTCGCCCGGCCTCGCACTAGTTTTCGGTGGGAACGACTTCATTTCGGTAGTGACTAGCTGCTTTCTTCTCAGAGGGCTAGGTTCCGGGATCTGTTTGTTCATCTGAACCAACCGAGTTTTGAAAACTGGCCTGAATGTAGGGGCCTTTTCATTTTGGGAGGCAGGATGTGTGTCTTGACCATAAGTACTGCTTCTGCTGGGCTTTGCCACATCCAGGTGCGTTTGTGGTGCCCCACTGGACAGGGTGCTCTGTCTCCCCAGTACAGAGGATCTTGGCTGTAGGTGTGGAGTTGGGAGGCTGTGTGGCTCGGGCTGGCTGGCAGAGGTCGCCACCTTGTGGTCAGCTGCTACTGAATGGGCAGGGAGGTTTTGTGTCAAGGTAGGGTTTATGGAAGGGGCCCTCCTCAGATGAGCCCAGGGGGGCTTTTTAATGGTTAGATTGGATGTCTTGATTTTGTTTTCCTGAAAGGGTAGAGATTAAGGGGAAAAAATTAAATGTAGTAAACCTTTATATTCTTAATATCATCTTTTTTCTTTTCCATTAATGTAACACTACCAGAGCACAGGATCAGACAGGGTTTCATTCTTGGGGGGGCCAGGGACACTAGGAGTCAAGACCAACAGGACGACATCAAATAGCAATAATGATGGCAACAAAATACAAGACAATTGGAGCAAAACAAAACATAAATGTACCTGCTTGACACAATAGGGACATTTCTTTGGGGTTTTGTTTTTCTTTATACACCACCCTTTCGAGGACGCAGTCTAAGATGAGGGCTGCTCTGTTTTGTGCAAACACTGGAGGGAGCTGGCACACACAGTACCCACTGCCCATGGCACATGCTGGCTGCCCACCACTGACTGTTCTGCAACTCCCTCCAGCTTCGTAGCCACACCCGCCTCCTCCAAATCTCCCACCAAGCATCCTCTCAACTGCCGAGCAATCTGGGTTACTGCTGACGTGGCGCCAAGGTGAGTCCCGAGGTGCTGTTGTCTTTGGCACACCTGTCTCAGCTCCCTGGGCAGGAAGCACAACCACTCAGGGGTCGCTGTTCGGGTTTCAAACCACCACAATAAGGCAGATACTCCAGGAAAGCGAGTCATAGACACATTTTTAATTTCCCTGTGCATATAAAAGTTATGTTGACACTATACTGTAGTCTCTTCAGTGTGTGATAGCATTATGAAAAAATATAAAATACTGTGAGAATGAACAAAAAGCAACACAATGAAAAGAGACTTGCTCAGGATAGGGCTACCACAAACCTTCAACTTTGCAAATCTTGCAAAAAGCGCACCATCCGCAGAGCACAACAAAGCCAGCGAAGTGTGAGGCTGTGCAGCCTGCTTACACCTGTGCTATGGAACCTTCTCAGTCTCAGGCCATCAGGAACACTGGTCGGGTCATGTGAACCGTGGAGGCAGCAGCAGCGGGACTGAGTGGCAGGAGGGGCTGTGCTTTAGGCAGCTTTGTGTTCGCAGTGCTGACCACAGAGCCATGTCAGACCAAAATGCAAACAAAAATCCCTGGCGCTGCGGTGCCCATAGCAATGCATGGGGGTAGAATTCTGCACTTCTTTGTCAAGCTGACATGTCAGATCCATCTAAGAGATCAACGACTTCCAGTCTTTA